AAAAAAAAATATTCCAAAACATTACAAGCTAATTTGTGTATATGATCAGCATATGAATAGTATACTGTTTTCTCTTTAGACTAGGAAATATTTCAAAAGTGAACTCATTTACAAATATTTCCTAATTCCTCCTATGCAAAATTTCAAATGACTTCCACAATTTCTTAAATGAGATAATTTCAGTAATCTCTACTTTTCTATGCTCTCTATTCAATCTATTCCTTTTGTAGATACTTTTTGTTCCACTTCACCCTTTAGTGTTTTGCTCTTTTTAATATTTGGTTTTATCAGTTTTTTGCATTCTAAAAATTTGAAGACAATGTTTTTATTCAATTCTTTTGAGTAGGGAAGAGCTCAAATGTTTGGGGTATGTGATCCTAGCCCATTTGTCATATTGGGGACTTGATCTATTTCCTAACTAAACAATAACATATATGACCATTTTCTGCTATTACTATATGCTACTTAGTTGCATGTTGAATCTACTCATATTCGGTTAATGGGTTTCTGTGCTTTGGACTGTTGTTTATGTTGGTTGGTTTTATAATTTATATGTTACAATTTAAACCCATGCCAAAATAACTACTGTGATTTCAGATATTAAATAACACAAATTTTACTTAAATATTTTACAGATAGCTTTCGAAGACGGGATACTGCTCAGCAAGGTGTTGTGAATTTCCCATATGATGATGTAAGTCTCAGTTATTAAGAACTAAGCAGGCTGGCAAGACGTACAAAATGGGCATCCTTTTTGAAGTTAGCTATTAAGAACATTTAATGATACCTGAACAATCAAAATAAAATGGTCAGAAAGAGCTACTATTCAAAATTCATCACTAATTGCATATATCACAACTAGTCTTATCTTAGACCACTGTTTGATTTGCATAAAAAGACAGCGCAAAGTCTGTCTTACTGGCCTAATTAGCTAGGTCACTTAGGCAGGTGTCTTTCTTGCTCTGAGACCATTTGAGGAATGAAGCAGCAGTAATAATGCTTTCATTGAAAAACCCCATGTATCTGGTTTTGTCTTTTCTAAAAACATCATGCCAGTCTTTGAAAGTAGCTTTAACAGCTCACAGTTGTACTTGGCACATATTCTTCATTGAAGACATAGTCAGAGTCTTAAGTCACAATCTAAAACAAGTTATGAAGCCACCCCACTAAATGAGGCAGGGTAAGGTCATGTAAGTGTGATGTTATTAGTTAGATATGCATAACCAAGCTAGAGAGCATTTCTCCATTTTTGTTCAACCATTGATTTAAAAAAAAAAATCTATCAGACTTTAAGTAATTATGCTGATATTCTAAAATCATTTTCCATATAAAATCCAAAGATGCAGTTATGACGACACTTTTAAAAGACTTGGTTGTATATAAATATACTTATTGTTAAAATGTGATCTCTTTTAGTGTGTGTCACTTCTCAGTGACAGTTGTGTTATGCTTCTCCAAGGACACTGAGGCAGCTTGTGACCTCAAGTGGGGCTACTAAAAGATACCTAATCATCTAGATCCTTAGCTTCTTTTTCTCTGAATTAGGGATAATTACGTTTGCCTTGCAGGAATGCTGCAGAGTAAAATGCACATTACCTCATAACTGTAGGAGGAGTGTAAAAAAGAAAATTTGATGGAAAAAGCAGTTTACTAGTTTGTGGTTCGTAGTCAACAATCAGCAATTATTGAGGCAAAAACTCAGGTTTCTGAATTATACGGGAATTCTGTGCATACATATATTTGCTTACAAGGACTTATTTTTAAAAACAAATTTTAAGTGAACAGACTGTTTAAAGGGACCCTGCAAGAATAGTGGGGTAATACTGTACGTTTGGAAGTCCCCACATCACATACCAGTGTAAATTCAATTGTTACCTGTATTGGTGGGTGACATGACCATGACCATTTTGAGATATCATTTGGAATTGAACTAATGATTTATATTTTGGAGTAAGATCTGTTTCCTGTAAGAAGTATGTGTGAAACCCACTGAATTTCATATTAGAGTGCTGCTTTCAAAAAATGAGCCTTTCTATCCATCATTTACTTTTACCTTAGAATTTTTTTAAATACACAATTCAAGTTAGAATACCAATGTTTATCTGCATAAAAATAAGCAAGGGTTATTAAGTGTCATTCAAGTGTAATGCTGACCTCTTTCTTTCAGTTCATTCAGTGTGTCATGAGTGTTTAAAGCAAGAAGGAGCTGTATGAACATATTCGACTTTCCAGCTGGAGTTCTCTTTTGCTCACTCTGCCTTCAGTAATATTGTAAACTGGTATCACCATGCTTCCTTAGCAGCTCCTGTAAAGGTTTACTACTTATGTACAATTGAAACTTTATTTTTAGTTTTGATAATAAATTCTTTGGAATTTTAATATAAGGTCAAGTTGATTATATCATGTAGAACTTCCTTGAACCACTGTCAAGCATGTCTTTTCTTGCTAAGCCTCTTTTTATGTAAATTTAAGTGTATAGATGTTAAAGCATATTCTATATTTTTTATTGTAGTATATAAAAACTTGTCAGCCAATTATAGCTGTTGCGTTTCTTAACTGGACTTTTAAATGGTATTGAAAGCTTTTGGTGTGGAGTGTTCTTCTCATGTGAAGATTTTATAACCACATAGATGCAAAACAAAACAGTGACAAATTTCAGGGCTCACATTAATGGAAAATCAGCACAGGTTTTAAGGCTTACAGGTATTTTGATGGCCACATGAATGAACAGGGAACATGTATGATTATTTTCTACCTCTTACCTACTTCATAATTTGGTAATCTTAATAACGATATTAAGAACTTGTACATTATAAGCTTAACTATGTAAACAAAAAATTGATCAAAAAAAGTCTAAGCATATGAAAATATTAATTATGGCTATTTTGACTTTGTTTTTGAATTCTAGATGACTTTAATTTCCTTTATATATCTCAGTATTTTCTAAGATTCCTATAATGTGTGATTTCCTTTTAAAAATCAGAAGGATGTTAATTTTTAAAATATTGGTACTTCCATTTTGATATAATAGGCATTCACTCTTTAAAATATGTACAACAAAAGGACTGGAAAAAATAACAAAATGTTGATGTGTCTACCCCTAGAAGTCAAGATCATGAATTCATTTTCTCCCTTTTACTTTTCCAAATATTTTCAGATAAGAAAGTATTCACTTTATAGTGAAAAAAAACAAAACAAACATTTTAAAAAAGCTATGAGCTTTGGAGTAACACCTGGATGCCAATGCTGGCTGTGCTTCTTACTCAGGATTTGGTTTGATTATTTTCTATAACCTCAGCCTTACTTTCCCTGTCTCTGAAAAGGAGCTATTTCATGGGTAGCTTAAATATGAATAGTATATTAGTTTAGTAAGCACCAATCAGGTTTCTGTTTCTTATATTGACTGCCTGATTTGCTCTATTTAATAGATAACACAATGAAATTAGTCTATTTTCTTCTTACCAGCAGCCTATCTTTTTTTTTTTTAGGGTGTCATGTGAGAGTGAAATAATAGAGCTATTTGGATGATCAATTAAACAGTCATCAATCAGTGAAAATAAAACACTTTCTAAGCATGCTTAGCTGCATTAAACTATTTCTTAAACTAGCACATGTATGCATACTCACTCACTTAAATATTTTTTCAACTTATATATGGGTGATTCCAACATGTTAAGGAGGAAGGCCTGTGCGGACCCAAATGCATAGGCTATATTTGAACTATCTTATTGCTGTGGCAAATTCCAAGGTATAGTTCTGAAGTATTTTTGGGTAAATGCTGAAGTATTAAAAAACTATGACCCTGGAACTACCTAATTTATTTTTAAATATTGATATCTTATAACAAGTCTGCTTATCATTTCTGCTATTACTTCCTTTCCAAAGCAGGGAGCCAAGTCTTCAATGTCTTTGCAGTTAGAAAGCTTTCTTTTCCTTGACAAATTTCATTTGTCCATTCCCTTTGACTGCAGGAATTCTTCATAACAAGTGAATCTCGTGTTACCTTATTTCCTTTTTGTTGCATTCTGTGTTTCATTAATTATATACTGCCAGTGTTGCCTCACCCACTTTTCTTGTTTTGTTTTCTTAAAGTATCTAGTTGGAGCATGATAAAGCTGTGAGCTCAAACTTGAATTACTTAGAGAACTAGATTCCTCAAATAATTCCAACTCAAGGTTTTAGACATGTGGGCTTTAGTTTTGTGCTTCAAGAGATTCCTGATTATATTATAAAGTATTTGACTCTTTCCAAACATGTCCATGAGAATGTGGCTGCAAAGGGCCTGGTGTGTCTTCCCTGGGAACAATGGTGTAGATTCACCCCAGTGCAGTCTTATTTAATGAATCCTGGCTCTCCTGTTGAGTCAAAGTGGAATATAGACTTCACTTCTGCATGATATTCCAGGTGGAATGATCAGCCCATGAGTTAGCATGCAAGTGAAATCTTACCTCTGAAACATGTTTTTGCACTGCTGCATCAGTTTTCATCTTAAATCATTATATACCTTGAATATTATAAGAAATAGGGCTATATGTAACCACAATAAAAAATTTTAAATTTCATAATAAATGTGTAAACTCTTAGTCGATGACTTTGACTTTTCTCATATTACTCATTAACATCGTAACTTCCAGGCCTCCCAGATGGCACAGGGGTTAAGGCTCAGCGCTGTCAAGCTACTTGCAGCCACTGCAGTATGAGTTCAATCCCAGCTAGGGAGATGACCCACGTGGCACAGCAGGCCTCCCCTGTCTCACCCACTGCTCCCCCTTAGTATATTTCAGTAGATATGCCTCTTTTGCTCCCCACTCTGTCTCTAGTGAGTCCTCTAACCTCAGCCCCCACCCCCAGCACCTCTGGCCTACATCACGTTTCTTGTATGCATAAATAAATCTTTTAAAAAAATTTTTTACCTTTTCCTACAATGATGATACCTGATGGAGAGATTCCTAATGTTACCACAATTAGGAGTTTAACAAGCACAAAAAATAAAATAGCAGCTCGGCTATTTACAACTACCTTTTAATTCCATAGACCATGAGCTGAAAACAAGGACATTGGGTAAAAACTTGAGGTTAGATGGCTGCTTAGGAAATCAATGAAGACAGGTGACACATTTTTAGGCCATGAATTCATGAACCTCAACTGAATTCCCAGAGCCCAGTGCTTTAGAATGTGACACGACTAAGTTTTCAAAATGTAGTACCACTACCTGGGCCCAGTAGAGATAACTGATCCTTATAAGGTGAAGGAGAAAAAAATTTGTATAAAACAGAGGTGACTACTACGACCCAGCTGAGGAAACTACCCACAAAGTGAACACTCAAGCTTTACTACAGGATCCTTGCACAACTATTCCCTGAACAAGATGGGTTTGAACTTCGAGTCCACTGATAGACGGATTCAGTCATCCTGAAACAAGTCACTTGGCTGAATCCCCAGGTAATGGAACTTGGGAGGTATAAAGAGCTAAGTTACACACGGATACCCAACTGCTCAGGAGGTGGATAGGCTGGCTTCCTTCACTACACACCCCCTCACTATTCCACAGCCCAAACTGTGCAAAGGCCAGCTGAGTTTTTCATCATGTACTTTTATGACATTATGGGACAGGGGAAAAAAGGAACCTCTAAAAGTATTCTCACAAAGCTCGAAGAAACACAGTGGCTGGGAGGAAAATAGGATTAAAGGGAGCCCTGCATAAAATAACAAATATTTTATTGAAAGTCACTTTATTCATGTTACAATGCGAGTAACATAGAAAACCATGGTATCTTATCAGCTTAAATGTGAATACTAGTAAAATTGTGCCAGAAAGTTACAGTGACCTTTAAAAACAGCAAGATTATTTACCTACAATATAAGAACAGTTTTATAACTTGAACAGCCATAAAACAAATCACATGTTGCTCAGGAAAGCAGTTGCCATGTACAATTCAGTTGGTGTTTGCCAAAACCTAGTTATTTTTAAAATAGCTTAAGAACCTGAAGTGCAGCATAGCAGAGAATGTTAAAATGATGTCAATCTAAATATATATACACATACATGATTACTGTTTACCAAAAGTGAATCCATGCTATTAACACTTCCCCATGAAGTGCCTTCCGCTATCTGTAGGTGAGATGTCACCCCCTCAGAGATGATAGATGTGGAAAACACTAACTAGACCTACAATGACTGACATGAACTGCTGTGTTAGGTAGAATGCCCAGTTTCTAAGTGTTTGGGGGATGCTAGATTAAAGGGGCAATTCTCTTCCTACAAGTTAAGAAAGGAATATATGCTTACTTATACTGAATAACCTTTTGTTAAACATTTTTACTTGTAGAATTAAAAAAAAGTCTATACAAAACAAAGGTGTTGGGTCATTTTTACCCATTAAAAACACTGGCTGTAGAATCGTAGTTTGATTTTGTGCTGGATTAGAAAAGAAAAGTGGGATTTCAAATCAGGCAGTGATATACATGTATAATTAGGAAGAATTACTTATTATTACTGAATAAATGTATTCATTCATATCAGCACTTTCCATATTGTTCTCTGGTATAATGTAGCACCGCAGTATTTAAAGATTTGGGGGGCTATTTGCATTATTTTAAAGTTTGACCTTCAAAACAAATCCACATCAGAAGCTTTAAAAAGAGGGTAAGCCCTAAAGAAATATTGTATGTATTTGTTTTTTGATTTGAAGGAAAATGCCCTTCATAAACTCTTTGAAAACTTTATGTACGACCTTGTTATGTACATTAACAAAATTGCTTAGAATCATTGTATGCCTTTTTGTTAAAACAAATAAACAAACAAACAAAAAAAACCCCACACACACATTTTCCCTGGTTTGAATTTTAAAGATACCTAGAAACATGAAATGATGCTGCCAGCTTTAAAGCACCTCCTGGTATGATTTAATACACAGCCTATCAACAATGCCACAGGGACACATCAGGCAGAGTGACTGGCCCTTCATGAACCTAGACCATGAAGCCTTTTTAGAGCCAACACTCAGTAAAAACAGCAAAGCACACAAGTAGGCTCCCAGCACCCCTTTCCCCGTCACACTTCCAAGCAGCCATCTGGAGCTCTTCTGCATACCTGGCTTTTGACCAATTTGTGTGATCTCCATTTGGGGCCCATGTCAGGCACTCTCTATACACTCCCAGGGCTTACTGCTTTTTTCTCCCTTGGCTTGCAAAATACACCCTGAAGAGCCATCTTTTAGTGATTCCAAAGTTGCATAATCATATTAAGTGCCAACAGGAGCAATCTGAAGAGAATTCCATTACCCTTCACCCCAACTCTGTATCCCTATGGTTCTCCCAAGTGCCAGTTTCACCAAAGAAAGGACTTACCTTGAAGACAGCCACTGAAGAGGGAGCTACTTTGAAGTAGGAAGGGCCTGGAACAAATCCCACAGCGAGGATGCTTACTCCTTATCAGGCTCTGAATACGAAGGCCAAAATACAGGCAGGTTTGTTTTGAATGTTTTATTTCTACTTCTAATCTGAACCAGAAGATGCTCCATTTTGAGAATTTTTAAAGCAGGGAATAAAAAGAACCGAAATATCCCCTGATTTCTAAGGTCTTACTGCATCTTTGTTTGCTCTGCTTCTGCAAGCGAAGAAATGGATCTTCTTGAATTAAAAGCACATGTGTTATGAACAAAAGCCAACAGTGCCTGGCAGGTGTGACTGTGCCTACACTCCACTCCCCACACCTGACACTTGGTGGATGCAGTGCTGCTTCTAGCAAATTTTCACAAGAGCCAGCTGGGCACTTCACAGTATGATAAATAGGGGAAACTGTGAAGTCCTAGCTCTCCTGGTGGAAAGTTGCAGCATCCAATTTCGTCTTATCCATCCAGAAAATAGCTCAAATGGGAAAAACAAAAAGTTTAAGCTCCAAATCAAGCCCTGTTTCATAGGTTGCTTCTTACACACTTTAAGTTAGTAGAGTGAAAATAAGAAATTTATCATGATTCCATTTCTTAAGTGAATGGGTGGGATGTGGGTAGTAATTAACAGGAAAACATAGACATGAAAGGAAAAAGATAATTAGGACTGTAAAAAAAAAAATAGGCATTGAGCCACAAATAGGTGTCAAGAGTATTTCATGGAAAACTCCAGTCACTCTATCAACAGGTAAGATGACACTTAAAACGTGCCGGCCTAGAGGCCAGCATGCAGCAGCCAGCGGTTCCCTGTTAGACTAAGGCTTGGTCATCTGCGCTTCTTCCTTTGCTCTCTCCATTCATTATACACCTCATTTCCCCCTCCCACAAGTTACTTGATATCCTTCCAATAAATTACATTTCCTTTAAGTTAAAGGATATAAAGTAAAATAAAAGTCTTTTCTTTGGATATGGGTTTATTATCATGTTGAATAACATAAGGAACTATTTAAAGCACTAAATATATGAGGCAAAAATAGAATTGCATGACAACAAGAAATGAAGAACGGATGAAATAAATAAACTTGACTTTTGACACACTGAAAGCAGTGAATAGAACTACCAATTCCCTCTGGCCCAAGGTAACTATAAGAAGTAAAGAACAAAATCATAAAATGTAGTCACAAAGATCTGGACTAATGGTCAGAATTAACTTATGCAGATCTTCAAGGGAATCCATGAAGGAAAAAAAAAATGTAAGCATGTGCTGGATTTCAAACAAATAATTCACTGGCAGTGTACAGAATATCTAATTTTATATTTTTAGCAACTTCTTATAAACACCTACCAATATTATACTCAAAAATCTATACTGGACTGACTTTAAGTATAAACACTATAAACCTTTTTAAACAAGAGGAAACAATATAGAATAAATTGTAGTGTTACTTAATAAAGCACCTATATCAAACTGAAAATTATGTTTGGTATTTTAATCCGAAATTTACTGTATTAGTCAACAATGTTTAAGGAATAGCACTGGGTTTCTCAGAGAAACATAGCAGAGTCAGCACATTGAAAACCTCCATTGTGCTGCACTGTTTGAGCAGTTTACTCCTCCCTACAAGTTACAGGTAACTGGGGACCAGTGTACCTGGGATACTGCAGACGGACACCACTTCCTGTCTAAAGAAAATGGATAGACTCAAGAAACTAGCTAGTCTAGTTAGTCACCTCATTTGTCAACTTTAATGGAGAAATTTAACTGTTTCTTTAAATCTCATTTTACTTCACTATCATGATTGTGGATAAATGGAACCTCTCAGACAGCCGGTTGTCAAACTTATACATGCACAACATGTCAGAAAGGAAAAAAGGCATACAATGGGATAACAACAACAACAACAAAAAAAACAAATCACTGCTCCCTCTGCTCAGATAATAGTCCTCTATCTGACTGTGGAACATAAATATTTGTGGATTGATACAAGTTGTTATTTGAACTCAAAGTTCCTTTCCAAAATAGGTAATTATTTTTAAAATGCTGTGCTTGTATTTAGTGCCATGGGTCTATTCTCCCTGCCTCAGTGGATGAGAAGGCATAAGAAATATTAAGATTTAATATATTTAGAACACCAGTATAAGTACATATATAGGACTTTTGGAAACTATCCTTTGAGATTATAAATGAATTAAGGAATGCTGCAAATGACTCTGAATGTTCAAACATTGTTAGACACCCAGAATTAAAACTAGTATAAAATCATAATCTCCAAATAAGACTTCATTCACTTCCATTTGAAAGTTATTACCAACGAGGATGACTATGAAAGATACACCTCTACAACATCCATGTTTTCCAAAAGGCACATAATTTTCACATAAAAATAATTGAGAGGCTGAGAAAGAAGTAGGTGAAGGGGGATTGTTGACTATGTAGCTAATCATTTGTAGATTCATTTAAAGTAGGGTTGTGTAATCATAACTAGGAAGCATATTTACACGAGGTACCATACATTCAAATCTAGAAACTCTTTTATAGTCAAAATAAAACTTGTAGCATTAACACTTTATATACTCAATACCAGAAAACATTCAGTGCACATTAAAGTGATGTTAGTGAAAAGCCACTTTATTTGCTACATCTTTAAATCTGTCTGCCCTACTGTCGTTGGCTTGGATGGTGTGGTAACTGTCAATGTCATCCAACACTCACCAAACCTTAGTCTGTTTGATGGTTCCGTTGTAGTACCTACAATCACATTCCTTCTTGTCATATAAAATTCTGTTTATACTTTATAGTTTTCAATGATTAAACTGCTTTTCAAGGGTTTTCAAAGACTTTCAGGAGAGAGGTCCATTACAGAAGACATAAATACATAGACCATTAAAACAATCCCTTCTAACTCAACCCATAAGTTGGGCATCCAGGATGATTATACATGGAGGTGAGATGAGTTTTTTTTTCCTATAGGAAAATCTCTTCACTACAGGAAGAAATCAAATTTAGAAGATAATTCTGAAATCTTGTCTACAGATTACACTCCTCTCAAGAGAAAGAAGAGAAAATGAGGAAATTCAGAAGTACTCTTCATATCAAGTCTTTTGATCCATCAATCTCTGAACTTACTACAACAGCCTCCTTAAGGAAGCTTTTTGTAAGAATGACAGGACTGCATTATAACAGCTATAAAACTTTCAGTGTAAAGAAGCAGCTTCCACATCCAATTTTCATTTTTCTATGCATGAAAAATATGTAGAGTTCAACATACCATATTCTCCCTCTGTCAGCTGTTTAGCTAAATTCACATTTGCCACACACATGGTTTTAGGTTTAGCTTAACCCTTTTAGGTTTCTTGAGGCCCCAGTCTGGCTAGTAGAACCATCCATCACTTTGTTTCAAAGTCAGTATGGAATGACCTGTTGGGACTCAGGAGTCATTAATTATTATTATCCTTAATAACAGAGGAAAAGTTGTTTTCACTAAAATAGATCATCTCCCAGATAAGGGTGGGTAGAAAGTTTTGCTGAAGAACAAAACTGCAGATCATAAAGGGTAGATAACGGGCAATCTGGAAGCTACCAATGCTTCAGCAAGCAGCCTGTGGTCTCATGGGTCTTTGGTACACTTGTATAATCAGCACAGCATATGCTGTGGCCTCACAGGCCTCAGGGTGAGACTAGCAATGTGCTCTGGTCCTGAAATACAGCCATTGCTGAAGCACGTACAGCAACCCCCAGAAAGTGGTCAGGCTGGAGGATTCCCAGAGAGCAGCAGGGTGGCTGGAGGCAGGATAGCCACTGCATTATTAGACTTCTTCTCAGCCAGTTTGGGAGGCGCCAAATTTTGCTGGGCATTTTGCTCTCTAGATCAGTTAAAAACTCAGTGAATCTGCCTCCAGACTGTACAGACTGTACAGTTTAAAGGGATACCACATTTTTTAAAACAAAGACCAATTATGGAGAGACACTTTTACAGCACTGACCTCTATATTTACATCATTGGATTATAATTGTTAAAAGACCATTTGATGGAGGAGGATAGTATGATTGTGACTGATTGTTTTTAGGCATTTGGCAAAATACACTTGTGTGTGAGAGCTGCTTTTTTATTTTAAAAATGTTTACATATGTACAAGAGTCCTTGTATGCTGATATAAATAAGAAAAGTAAAAAAACAAAACAAAATACATGTTTAAGGTTTAGCATATGGAATATTAGCCTCTCAAAGCTTTAAAGTCCTGCAGAAAAATCCTATGGGCTTTAGCTCTGCATGCTAGTTTCTAATATGGGATGTTTCCTTAAATGTGGAAAACAAACAGAAGCTTCATGCACATAGCATTACTGTCTACAATGAGGATGTGCTTCAGAATGTCAAGTTCTGAATCCACTATTGTCCCTTAGGAAACTGGCTACATTTGGGTCGTGTGTTAATTTTAGTGATTGTTCTACATATGTCTGTCATGCGGATTATCCATTAACATACCAGTACCTTTATTGTTCCATGTTACAGTGTAACATTTCAGCAATTCTTTTCATGGTTCAGTTAAATCCTAAGCCAATGACAAAAAGAAGATGGTATTGAGATGAGAGACTTGGCTTCCTCTCTTCTTTGATATCTCAGAGAGTCTTCATATTGTCTGAAGAGCAGATAGATTTGCAGTGACTCCATGAGGCTGGGTTTCTATAAAAGTTGAAGTAAACAGTTTCGATGTATCACGTGTAAACAGTTGATCTTTAAATGGATGTCTCCCATAGCTGCACAATTGAGAGAAACAAAATCGCGTACTGTGAGAACAGGAAACAAAGGTATTCTGAGCTATGGAGATGAAAAAGGTTTGGTGATTCCAGCTATATTTATGTGATTGTAGATACACACTCTTGTGAAGACTAACAAAAGTTGATAGACAAATAAATAAACTTTCTAGTTATCAGCTGAGTCCACTAAAACTGTGCCTGAACTTTTTGAACTGCCATGTTTTAATACAAAAAAATCCTCACATCTTTATTTGATGTTACTCAAAATTTTGAATAAATTAAATATTGTATCTCAAATAAAATAAAATTATTTTAATTCTATGCACTCCCTGGCTTTCCCCAAGATTCTGATATAGCCAGTCAGTGTAGTGGTTCTGAATTCAGCTGCCCACTTGAATGACCTGGGAAAGTTTTTAAAGACCCACTGCTCAATCAGTGCCCCCACACTGAACTAAATCTCTCTGAATGGGACTAAAAATCAGTATATTTTAAAAGTTGTGCAGATCACTCCCATGTATAGACAATGTTGAAAATTACTGACTTTAGGGATTGTGATTTCATCAATACTCCAAGCACCCAGTTAGGAATCCCAGTTAGGAATCCCTTCCTAGAGCCTATGATAAAACTATACATTCTCCAGCTCCATCACAGACTCCTAGAAAATCTTTCTCTTCCCTGAGCTGACATAGTAGAGTAGAATGACATCTCAGGGCAAGATGTCAATTCTTTACTTCCCTCACCTGGGGCTTTTTCCACTAGTTATTCTTATGGGCCCTGTTTATATCCAATTTCTACAATGTTCAGTAATTGCCCTAATGAACTGAAAATATCTCTGCCAGAAACAGTATATATGAATGGAGCCAAGATCACCAGAAAAGGAAAACCATTTAAAATTTATATCAATTTTAATAAAAAATGCTTCTGGGCATTCTAGCTATAATTCTTATAAACACGAACAAAGAAAGTCGAAGGCCAATGTGACTAAGTGCATCCTATTTCTATCCAAATTCCATTTTTATTGGAAATCTGAGGCATGTAATTTTACATTTAGTGAGTTTCTTGGAAAGATAAATGTAAATATCTGTGCCTCAGTGGATGTTTCTATATAGCTTCCCCTAAAACATTCTTGTAAATTTTTCATTGCTATCAATCTTGTCCTTTGGAAACCAAATCTCTCAACTGTGAAGACTTCCATGCATGGATGCTACTTGTTGCTGGAGATTATGGCAGATGAATGGTTGAACAAGGGTGTGTAGGGTGTTTGAGTCAAAGAAAATCTGGATTAATGCTCAGAATAAAAAATTCACACTTTAGTGAGAATTTCCTCACAAATGGTTATGACAATCAAACAAGTAACTACCTGCAAAAAAGAAGAAAAGAACAAAGGAATGGCACTAGGAAAGCCTAAAGGTCATGACTATTCCAACAAGGAAGAAACAAGGAATTGTCAGTCCATCACTTAGGAATAGGCTTGACTCTGGCAATGTCTGGATGGCTGTAAAGAGGCTAACAAGAAGATCTAGTTGTCTGCTTCTCCAGAATCAGTTGCCACTGTCCTGCAGGAGACTGCTCCATGCTCCTGTGAACTCCACAGCAGACAGAAATACCCAGGACATTCATACTATTGTCCCAGCAGCTAGAGTCTTCATAGCCGTCCCATTCAGGCCAATGAAGGGGCCATGGGACAGTCATTTCTAGGGAGCTTCATTTTCATGGGCTCCCTTGTGGGAAAGGCTCTAATAACCTGAGACTTGGCATGGCAACAGATGAGATAATATCCCCAAGTAGCAAAGAGAAAACAGCAAGGTAGACAATTGGTCAGAGAAAATGAATGGTGTTCTAGTTAGAAAATTCCTTGGAGAGGGGAGGCATGCCATCACCTGAGATTTCATTACCACAGCACAAGAACAACTGGATATCTACTGAAAATCATTTACAAAGCCAGAAAACTGAGTGCTGAGAATCTTTGCTATCTTCTTTCCCCATTTCCCATATTCACATAAAATTATTAACAAAATACTACTGATTGTTTTTAAGGCTTTTGATTATAGTAATCTTATTCTTTACAAATGAATTGCATTTTCCTACCAACTCTGAGTAGATAGTGTGAAAAGGTGAATGACTCCTCTTAACTCCAAGCTTTAAGATCCAAGAAGCTCTAAAGCATCTTTCAAAATCAAATAGTCGAGGAACCACAGGGCCACTATAAGAAAAATCTTCCCAATATTTCAAAGCTTTATTTTATTTTCCTCAAAACTATTTTTGAGAACATTAACATTATAGTGCAACTGGCTATGACAGAACCTGGATATCAATGAAGGCAGCTATTCTTTAGTCATATGTCTCACATCTCTGAGGTCTATTCTGCTCTCCAGACTCCACTATTTCTCATAATGAATGTGTTCTAGTAATGTTATGAGACAGAGTAGAATTATCATTAAAAGGTAAAAGAGGACTTAGTATTTAAATAAAACTCATGGGAAATAATTTTTTCTAAAAATAACCAACTCCCTGTTTTTAAGTCTGGCTTTCTTAAATAAAAATGTTGCTAAGTCTCACCATATCCTTTGCCATGTTCTTTTAATATTACAGATTTTCAATTCACCATCTCTTGTGTTAAAATTTGATTCCCAACTCTCAGACATTAATCTGATTATGTCACAAGTTGTTATCCTTAAAATCCCACTGGGTATTACTAGCCAGTGAAGAGCTTGAGTAATAGGCAATAGGTACAGAAAGAAGTCAAGTTTACTTAGTCTCTGGCATTTCTAGTTACATTTGAAAACTTACAACAAAATCTTATAAAGCAAAATAAATTCCCATATCTATTTTAGGCTGTAAACATATTATCTACAATGTATAATAATAGGTAGATGTATAGTAATGAATTATTAGTATATGCCAAATAGTTCTAAAATTTGTCTATGTACTAATTAGACTAGCTTGCAAATATAAATCTGAGCCCCAAAGCTTCCCAAATATTTTATTTTTCAAACTTTTTTCTTTTTCTTAAGAAAAAAAAGTAAAATTGACTCTCTCTTTTAAAATGTGAGTGGATGAACAATGGTGACTGAGAAAGTCAGTATATGAAAGAGGTTTCCACATACCCTGGCACTTTGTCGGTTCACTTTCTTCTCCTCATCGGGAAGTGGAGGCATTGGGTAAGGGTACTTTCTGCTGGAGGCAATAGACCCAGTGGATGAGGAAGGAGATTTGGCAGGAGATAAAGTCCTGAGATGTTGAGAACACATGAAATAAATATTATGCGACTGCCTAATAACTTTTTTGCAAATATATTAAAACTGGGTTCAGAACAAACCCTATTATTTTTACTTCCATAAGCCACTACTGAAAGGCTTACCTACCAAAAGATACTTTTATCCACAACACTGGAATGTTGGAATTTTATCTTCCTACTTTCATAAAGGCCACTAATTGTCTAAATGTTAGTACACAGAAGCATAGAACTAGAAAGCTAGTGATGTATCATTTAGAATAGGTAAGAAGCTAAAATGGAGAAGAGATAAAATTATTCTAAGAGCTCATAATGGTAAACTAAATGTATAACAGTAATCTGCCTTATTTTTACCACTTCATGTACACGTTTTTAAAATAGCAATTTCAACTATATTTCTAAGGTGTGAAATTACAATTCATTTATTAGTTGCTAAGTCATACATCAGTTTACACAAAATTCATGCATTCAGAGGCCAGTGTGTTAGTTATGAAAGAACAAAGGCAAATACAAGGTTTTTAATAATAAATTAGTAAACATGCAAGCAGTAAGAAGTGCAGAGTTCCAGCCAAACAAAGAATCTGATGAGAACATACAAAAATGGTCTGATTAGTCTCTACCATAAGCATTTTGGTACTGGGAAGATTTTAAGCCATAGAAGTCAATCTTGATAACTCATGTAAGGTCCACTTGTCATGTCAATAAAGTAGCTACACCTTATTGAACTGGATTTCACTAAAACTAAAACACAATAACAAAAACTCTTCCTATCTGGATAAAGTGCTATCTTCTCATTGAAATAATCCATATGAAAGATCTACTTAAGCTCTTTGGTACATTTATGCTGCTCTTTTTGAGTCTACATGTGTGGTGGTAATATTTGTGACTAAGCAGAACATACTGGAAGAGCTCATTCCCAGACTGTTGTCTTTAAAGTGGGGGGAAAACAGCCAAGATTGAAAAATGTGAATTCACACTGTATCAATAGGAAATAGATGTCATAATTTTCTGCAGTAACATTCACAACTGTTACCACCACACATGGTGACTCCCCAGTTCCTGGGGCTTAGTGGGAATGAACCACGTCTTGAGTTGGTTACCCCACCCAAGGACAGCACAAGCACTTACTTCAGCAGGATGCACAGCATCTGCTTGACGTGTTGGGAGGCAGGGTGCCACTGGGTAGGGGAATGTTCACTGCCTGTGCTACTAGCAACAATGTAAAGGTGTCTCTTCTTCTCCCTTACTAAATTTTGGTTTCCAACCATACATTTTCCATTGTCCTAGCTCTGTCAGGTTTTCAAATTAGTTTGTATCTTTGAGATATAACCTAAGGTTTGAAAATATTTTTTCTACAAAATCTAAGGTCCAACTGAACATTCTCACTCTATTGTAAGAATCAAGAGTGGTTTCATTTACTTTTAATATGTAACTTCAAATGTTTTTTCTATTTCTAACAAGTGTCTTGGGCTGTAGTGTAACTCTAGTTAAAATACTGGTGTTGACTGGCTTCGTTCTATTAAGGAGCAGGTGGGTAGAACTAAGAGTAGCACTTCAAATCTTCCACAGCACTATAAAGCAATTTAATATTGTACAACTGTAACATTTTTTCAGCTGAAAATTAACAATTTTTTTTTTAAATTTTAGGACAACATTCAAACTGGGCTATGATCTTAAAGAAACAAATTCAGTATATGTAGAAAAAAGCCAAACTTTTGCATTTAGTTATTTAAATACATGTTCTAAAACCTGAGTTTAGATTTTTAGCTAAATCGCTACTGATAAGATCAAGTAGTCAGGAAAAGCTAGTCAGGCATACACATGACTAACTTTCATTTTTCTTAGGGGATTGTGTAAAACACTTACTGCAACATGTATGTCCATAAGCATGAGCCGTTTGCTTATGACTTCACACTTATGCCAGCCATTCACATGGCATGGCCACGTGAGCAGTCTCTTGTACACAAGCACACCACTACAAAGAAGGGGACTAAATCTCCAGTCTTCCCTTCAAATATTTTGCCCTTGCCAAGGGAACATTAGGTATTATCCATAATTCCAAAGACATTGCCCACTTTTCACAATAGTTAACTCTCATTTTAGACCCTGAGAGCAAGAGTATCCATGTTGGACAATTTAGTAAGGGCAAGGAACATAAGGTCCCATAGGTTGGGTGGTGTGTGTCAGCATAAAAGGAAGATGGAGAGCACTAAGACAGGAATCACAATAAGGAGAAAACAAGGTAAAGGCACGTCAGTTAAGAAAAAAAAAAAAAAGTAAAAATTCCTTACAAATGTCTAAAAAAGGACATTTCTTCAAAACTGCCTCCAGGCTTTTTCCCGACCCTGGCTACTTGCCTGCTAATTCCAATCTGGCTTTTACTGAAAAGTAGGCACCAGCCTAGCTTATTCATTTATAAAAAAATCTTTGGACAAATGTCAACCACTATAATTATTGCATTTTTAAAACCCAATAACTTAGTGAGTCACATGTTCGAGTTATACAGTGAAGTCATGCCTGTGTACCAATAGATTGCTATGTACCTTGGGACTATATTAGACTTGCTGGGCTTGCCTCCTGTAGATAGGCCTGAAAGGCCAAGTTAAATCAGATCTGCTCCCTAACACAGGCGAAAACCAGGTTGTCACTCATGGGGAACCTAAGTTCTTATTCACTTGGCTGTGTTCAGATGCAATTTTTTTAGTGGTCTAATCTAGAGAATTCATAGTATTCTAGGATATGATGTAAGTTGTCACTACTCTGCTGCTTTGAAGTAATTACAGTGAGAGGGCAATGGAATAGATTTTGGAGTTATATGCATCTAGGCTTATGTTTCTGGTTCTGACTACTAGCTCTGACTGCCTTAAGTTATACTTTGTGCCTCAGTTTCCTCCATTCATAGTAAGGGAATGAAAATTCCTGTATCTCATGAGACTGGAATACATAAAGGTTGAGAGTAGTTACTGAAGCATGGCATGTGTTATCATCTTGAGTTATTATGAGTTATAAAACATAACAGTTATGAGTTTCTTTTTAGAGATACTGCATTTTCCAAAGTCACTGATGAAGTGGGTAATAGCAAGAGTAAGGATATTTTCCAAAAGCATGTAAAGCACTGTCACCAACAGATACACCTCATAACAAGGGTATGGACAGACAATACTCCTGCTTTGACCCTCCCCCCACCTTCCTGATCACCGGAATATGTGCTGACAATGTGAGAGACAACTGTCATATCAGAACTGGTAAGAGAGCACATTAGAGGCACTCTAATCATTCAAAATTTTTTAGTACATTCTTTGCTTTTCATGGTTATGTGAATACTCTATTTGAAATTCTAGACTGCATTAGGAGTAGTTTACTGCAGTCCCAATGTCTCCAGGACATTTTGATAATGATGCCACAAACCCCACACCAGATGGGTGATTGGTAAAGTAAGTGACCTTTACCCTCCTTGGTGGTTTAGGCAGGAGAGATATAATCCTGAATGATCCAGCAGCAGTAAATCTCTTCTACATGAGATGAAGCAAAGGGGTGGCGAAGTATAAACCAAGGTGTGGATATACTTTGGGCATTCAATGTAATGCTTAGCTTGAATGGAAAGTGAATGAAATTCTCTCTGTTGCATTAGACCCATTGTGTTAAAAGTTCTGGGATTTCAAGTCACTATTTCTACAGAAATTTGTTTTGACTTTTAAAACTTACCAGTATAACCCTTATTGATTAAAAAAAAAATGGGTTAAGTTATAACCCTCCACTGAATTACATCGAACCTTTAACACACATAAGTAGATTAATTCTTATTGTAACCATCCAGTGTAGGAAATAGCATCTCAGATTAAGAGAAGAGACAAAGGAACCCTCTAAAATTGCCCTTGCAGCTTTGCACGTGCAACGAGGGATGCTAAAGCATTTCCCCATCCAAACTGTATTTAGTCATGCAGCTTCTGGGCAGACCTGGGTGCTGATTTTAAGAAATGTGAACTCTTTTCTGGGAGCCACATAAACTACTCAGTTCACCCAGGGGAGGTGAATCAACTCTTCCGGGGTACCATTTCACAAATTACTACTAAGTCCACTTAGTAATAAAAGCCCTAGTTCATATGAGATCAACATCATACTTTTTTTTTTTGTTCCATAACTGATACAAATTACAATCTGCCCACAAGCCTGAGGAAAGTAGAAAGGAAAATTAGGATTGCAGGTGAGCCAAGATTCCAAATAACGTTCAAAATAGCTTACCTGTCTTCCTGACGTTGGCCATCTTGGAAGCTACAGGTGAGGGTGGGATGTTTGAATGTGAGTGTATGTGTATGAAGTTCAGTGTTGGAAAGTGGAATAAGCAAAGGGACAGGGAAGGAGGGGAGGGATGGGGTTAAAAAAAAGCAGGATATATTTTTTTGTGAGCAGGCAAGGGTTATGCTTTCCTTGGGGTATATGCAAATGTATGGATCAAATTAAAATGCAGTAGGTCTAATCATTTTCTCAAACTATACATGTCTAAACTAAATGGTACACTGGAAGAGAAAGTCCACCTTATATGGGTGCTGAGAGTTAAATACACACACACACAAACATATATATATATATATATATTTAGTATCTGTTAAATGCTGACCCAAGTCAAGGCAATAAGTATTCTAAAAGTTTATTATCAGAAGAGGCAGTAAATGACTACATTTTTTCTTTACACTAGTTGTCCACAGAGTAATGAGATATAAAGTGGACATGTACCTCTAGGAAATAACTTTGCTATTACAAATAGTAAAAACAAAATCCATTAAGAGCTCTTGGAAATTCTCTCTGACCTCTAATGTTACACTGAGCTGCAGTGAATTAATTTAACAGTTTCTAAAGTATACAAATACTCCGCTCATCTGTGAATCAAGAACATGTTTCCAGTCTGTTTCCTGTTCTATTTGAAGTATTAGACCATGACATTCTCATTAGCATTTAAAAAAAATCCTTAGATCCTTTATTGAGAATCTGTAGAATACTTTTCTCAGCACAGCCCTTCTCTGGTAGCAAATGGCTGTAATGAAAAAAACCTAAACTCTTTCTACAAACTCTCATATGGTGAATATTCTCTCAATTTTCAAGTTAAATCAAATGAATGTTTTATTCAACATAGATTTCATTTAGTTTCTTTTCATGTGTTTCCTTACGTTTTTGTATGCACTATGCACTCTTAAGGCAGTAAGTAGGAAAATAAGCATTATGACATTGCTAAATTCTAGAAATTAAATTTTTCAGGTTAATAGTGCTTCTTTATTAGTGGAAAGTATATTTCATGCCCATAGAACACTACATAGCATAAATGAAGAGAAAGCTACTAAAAAGCTCAAGATGGTAATAAGGACATGCACTAAATGACAACCCTTTCAAATAGCTTCATTTGAAACATTCAGGAAAGAACTAGACTTGCTCATGAAGCCAAAAACAGATCAAAAGGCAGCAAATAAACAAGGACCCTTTCCACCCCTGGGAACTTGTATTGGGAGATACAAGAGAGAGAGCCAGTCACACTACATTATTTGTATGTGCTGGGAGAGTTTAAAAAGTATATAAAATTAATTTATAAAATACCTAAAGTATGGTCCTTCAGTGTTTTTATTCACATCTTCTACCCACTTAGCTACATTATAGTCTCTTTTGAACCATGGATTTAAATACCTGCAGAAAGCAATGGAAGGAACAAAGAAAGCAGAACAAGATAGAAAATCTGAAAATACACAGCACAAGCTTAAGCAAGGATGTCTTCACCCTCCAAATGCAAGTGACTATGGCAAATAAACCAGAATGGACGTTGGGTGATAGTGAGGCAGTCTGTACAATGACATGAAGATAAACTCTGCTATGACAAGGCTCAAGGCATTGTAGAACATATTTAACATTTCAAGGAAAGCTTTTTCAGTGGTTTCCCAAAGTGAACCAGAAGCTTTCTTTCAATCATAATAACATCAGTAGTCCCATTCACCCACCTCCAAAGTGGCTTTTCCCAGGCCACCTCTCATTTGGCTTCTTGGTTTTCAAATGATAAATGGTGCTTTTTGAAAACATTCAGATGGCTGCAATTCCAACCTGGCATTTGGGTATATAACACCCAAGAGCAATTAAAAGGAGCAAAGTTCTCTTTCCAATATGAAAAGAAGGACTTTACATACATAGCCTCTGTCTTACTTCCATAGCTGATCCCAAGCTGGAAATAATGAGAAAGGTGCCCCATTGGCTCTATAAGGAACAGAAAGGGCCCCACTCTTCGGATCCTGGAGCCCCAAATGCACATGAATGTGGTCCAAACAGGCCTCCATGACCTTGAGGCTGGATTTAGCAAATTAGTTGTAGTTGCAATGTTCATTCTTCCACTTGTGCACTCCAGACTGTACTCCAGTCTTGTTTCCAATAGGAAACGACCCTCAGAAGCTGCCTTCCAAGTATCTGATCATGAATTATGAGAGTGACTGCCAGAGGACAATAATGACCTTGATTAGTTAGCATTTCCCTGATAGACCTGGTGAAGTCCCCATCAAAATTGCTATGCAAAAGAAATTTTAAAAAATAGTAAAATTGGGAGTTCAAGGTGTTTTTTTAGGGTTTCTTTTCACTTTTACACTGAGAGTCAAGCAAACTCAGCCCCTTAAATTATGACCCTGGAAAATAAATGTAGATTAAACAAATTAGGTCTTGGAATCATCTGGAGGTTTTACTGAATTTTCTCATTAAAAAATAACTTCTAGAAATACTAGATAATGAAGTTCCAAGCTCTATAAAATATTTAAGGTTACTTAAAAACAGACCTGGGGAAATTATAAAATATACTACTCATTTTGACTACAGTCTTCTTCTTTCTTCCATATTAGCTATTGTTTGCAAAGACATTTACATCAAGAATACATTCCCACAGTTACATAAACAAAATGATATTTTCTCTCGATATTAGTTATAACCAATGTATGCCACAAAAATCACATCTTGAAGTTTCTTCCTAAAGAGAAAGGACAGGTTGCCTTTCATGTTTCTCAGGCCGTTTTTGCTAGGATAACATCCTCTGACTCAGGAACAACTCACACTAGTTTTGCCTTTAGTCACAATCATTGCCAACTTGTGCTTTTTACAGATAGCCAATTAATACTTGCATATAGATCTCCACTGAGACTGAAAAAAAAGAAAAAATCAAAAAGCAAATGCAGCCACAGATGAAGGCTAGTGAACACTCTGGTCTGGGGGAAACCGTAGAAAAAGCCCATGCAGCTGTGATTGGGTGAAACATAGCCACACAGCAAACTGTCACCCACAGGCAGTGGGCCACTTCCAGGCACATACAGGTTCGTTTCACTGACTATCTTAGAACTTGTGCCAGAGCTATCTCATGAAACCTACACCTGGCCACTGGATTTGACTTACAATTGATGGGTTTTTTGCCCTCTGTTTCAGGGAGCATTTCAGAAGGCTATGGCTACCTCACTAGAGGTCACTGAAGAGAGCTCCCAATTGCTGGTATCTGCCCTGACAGTGTCTTCACCGTGGGCTTCGTAACACCTCTAGTGGTGTTGGCTGCAGTGATGGGATTTTATCAAACTGTTATTTACCTGCCTATGTGGCTTGACTTGGATTGTAGCGCAACATGCAAAAAAAAAAAAAAAAATGCATTAGACAGGATAGGAGAGCTCTTTGTGTTCTCCAGGATGGAAAGGCATAGGAAAATCAGCTGATGCTGGCTGGACAAGGACCACCTCCGAGCAGACGTTGAGTGTCAGTCAGAGATCAAATGACCCTGTTCTCAGCCAAGGAAGGGACTTGGAGGGAAATTAAGTGGCAGCCCAGAATGAAGGGGCAGGTGGAGACTGACCTGTGATCCAGACTCCCTGTCTGGGGGCTGTCAGAGCCCCCTGGGCTTATGCCTTGGGATGGGACAGTCTGGGCGAGGGAGTGCCCAGGCTCAGGTGCTTGGGGCTCCCTCCTGTAAAAACACAATATATAATACAAAGTCTAAGCCAATTTTTTTCTTTTACATCATGTACAACAGTGAGGAAGATGCAAAATCTTTGAGTGGAAAAACAACACAATAAACAAGGACATTTTTCTCGGGTTAGTTAGCAGAGTATGCATTTGTGGTACATATTTTAATTTATGACTGGATTATTTCATCATCCTTTTGGATGATAAATTACTAAAGGGAGTATTGAAATAACAGACCTGATAATACCTTTTAAAATAAAAAAATAAAATATATGTTTGTTCATGGTCTTTCTGCTTCTCTAATCATCACACAAATTATCCCATTATATCAGAAACAACTGGGATTATTTAACAAATATGAAACGTATTAGAAAAAAAACTGCCCACATAATTCCTGAAACGCTATGCATTAGGATTCCATTTAAGAAAAAAAGCTCTATATATCACGCCCATACAATAAGGAACACAAGAATAGTGATCAGCTTCATAGACTTGGTTTCATTTAGTTAATGTAAATCACATAACCCAAATCTGAAAAGTCTGAAAAATCTGAGTGAGTCCTTAATACCTCTTCCTCACAAAGATGATTCTGATATCTTATTAAATATTCTAAATTAATTATCTCACAAGCAAGATTTTTCAAGGGCTATCTGTAGTTTAATATTTATCACGAGTGGAAATTTTACATTTTTTAAAATAAGTGATTGCTATAGAAAATATTAGATGATACTTACTAAATCCAAGTATTTTGAAGGTCTAAACTTATCATTTTAATATAATATTGGATTTTTTTTCCTTAGGAGTTTTTAAAACCTTGTTATATTGTTAGAACACTAAACAGTATACTAGGGAAGGTCTAAAGAACATCTTGCAGTTTTCTTTATACTCTTGTAAGCAACTAAGTTACACTAAGGAGCTTTTACTAGGTGACCTCATGCAAAACAAATCAAACCAAACAACATTCCAAGAAGAGTTTATCTACCATAAGCCCTAAAGCATCCAAGTGCTTTGGGAATGAATAAGATAAACTCTAACAGATTCGTTATTATGATGGAGTTCTATGATGCCATTCTGGACCATGCAATGTATCACTTGAACCTCTCTTGTTTCTAAGGTAAAGTAACCTCTAGTAAATGTTGACAAGCCACTTACAAGACAATACCATCAGCAGGAAGGTCCAAATTTCAGGGCAATGTTATTGTCCTGGACTGAAAAAGTCTGGGTATGTGATAGAAAAGCTAACATAAGATTCTGACAATACCTGCTCCAGATATTTTAAATACTAAGGCATGAAGAAGCAACAGAGACCCTGGGAATAATAACTAGCACTGCAGTGAGAAACAAATAAAAAATAATTAGGTGAGTCAAGAATCATCTGGGTAATTAAAACCAAGTGGCAAGGTCCAGAAGGATAGTAAGGGTGTGTTTTATTTCATGATGGGAGGTAAAGGTTCAGGAAGCTTGGCTTCACTTATACTTTCTTAAGTGGAAAAACAAATAAAAATAAAGTGCATGGTGTTTACCTTAAAAAGACAATTAACTTCCAATCCCTCCCACACTCTAACAAATGTGTGGCTATCATTTAAATGGATAGTATTGCATTTAGTGACAATGATTCCGTTAAAGAGCAAGTTTAGCAGATACCCTTTTAAATGTCCTCAGAAGGAAAATTTAAAAGGGAAACTTATTCCATTAGTCTGAGAGAATGCTTAGATTGCAGCCATGAAGACCTTTGGAGCGGTGGTTTCAAGTTGTGAGCAGTATCATGCTCTAGTAAGGTGGGAAATTTTCCCTGATGCTTCTAGGCTTTGTGAATATTGGGGAGAGGAAGGGTGAACTCTCTGAAATGGCAGGACCCCAGGTGATGAGAAGAAAGGAATGTTATCAAAATTCCCTTCAAACGGCACCAAGACACCACAATGGCAGGTTACTGGAGGAAAAAGCCTGCAGGGAGGGTGAGACCCCCACTATCAGTGAATATTGGTATGGGCACAGTTGCGGAGATGCCTATGTAAAAGAGAAAAGCGATGGTTAATTTTAAAACGGCAAGAAAGAATTGAAAAGACAAAACCAAGACCAGAGGCATGGTTTAACAGTTCTTTGATAATCTGGTTAATTAACTTCTCATACTTAATTGCACACGACCTTGGAATGCCTTTTTTCATTAGAGATTCAGACTTACTCAGTTGAATTAGACCGAGGTCTAAATCTTTTGCCTCTGATTTTCTTTCTGTTGCCTCCCAGGTTACCTAGAAAAGATAGTTTTTAATTCGATTACATATAAATAATTGCCATATTTTTCATTACATTGCTAACAAGGGGATGTTAATTCAGAACCATCCTCACCCCAGGACTTGGAGAGTTACAGTAACCTGTACAACTGCCTTCTGTGCCTCATGCTAGTGCTACTAAACCCCACTATATCCCATCAAGAGGGAAAAAAATAAGGTGATTTACTAGTAAATGCCCCCCTCTCCATTGGAAGAGAGTACTCAAGAGGTTACTGAAAAGATAAAATTTTACAACCATGGACCATAAGACATATAATTTGGGTGATGTGGCCACTTGGATTTGGAGTCCCACACATACCTTGCCAAGAGTTACTTCGAGGTCGTCCATTTTCACAGATGTCAGAAATATGTTTTGTGTCTGGAATCCTTTCACTCCAAGAATGAGATAGTCCATTTGACCTGAAATTGAAAATATTTATATACTGTTCAAAAATATAATCAAATGAGTGCTTTGAAATCAGTAAGCAAAATTTCTATGCATTACTGTGTAGTAAATAAAATAAATCAAGAAAGAAAAAATTGAAATGAAAGAATGAAGAGAACATGAAAATCTTCATGAAAAAGGCAGATTTACACAACATTCAATTTAAGAAAAGTCAAATACAATGGAACCCCATTACAGTAGTTTATAATTAACAAAATGTCAGGATACAATGCAAGCCAATTTACATTCTCCAGAACACATCAACCAGAAAACAAATTCACTACATAGTTCAATTACAAAACCCAAGCAGCAGTGTTATAATGGGGTCCCACCATAGATGTTTCTTAATTGTAAAGCAATGGTTTCCATTCAAATATTATGAGAACATGGATTTCCAAGAGATTTTGTTAAGATTTGCTCAACTGAACCTGGCTAACCTTTATCAGAACAATATGTAGATCTTCTTAAACAATAATTTTATGAGAATTGTCATTTTCTCCAAAATATGGTCCCCGCAAATGTAGTATTGTTAGTTGCATCCAATAACTAAACTGGACCAAATATTTATCATATCTCTCACAGAGCCCATGTATCATTAAGCCCTCTGCTATTTGTGTCCTGCCATAGTTAAATGAATTGTCTACAAGAAGCAAAATTTACACACCTACCTTTACATAAGTATTTGACAAACAAAATAGACTAGTCACATAATTTGAAACAATTTCTAACTGCTTAAAAGTCATCAACCCAATGAGATTTTGCTAAATTCTAGTAATTATTCAAGTGAATATTTTAAGCTCTTGATGAGGTATTTTAGAAAGTCACACTATACTTAAAATCTTTTCTGCATATCACTCCAGTTAATTACTAATAATGTCCAATTTAAAAGGAAATCAATTATTACGTGTTAATTCCCTAGATTAGGACATTCTAGACATTACTTTCTAGTTATAGAATGATCCATATTTTGTACAGGACAACAGAAATTCTGCTGAAATCTATCAGTTTCTCTACTTAGTTACCATGTTATTAAAAATTTAGTATTTGATCAGAACACATTCTATTCTCTTAGGCAATAAGCCCTCAATATATTAAATAATAAAAAAAAATAAGAGTTTTCTATAGAACTGTACTCTCTGGTACAAAAACTGTTACCTGAGGAAAAAAAATTATCCTTCATGCTTAATAGAGTTCCATGCACAGTTCACAGATCTCACTATTTCCTTTTACTCTCCTTCCTGAGTCATATTTATGAAGAGTGAAATCTATTAGAGAATTTTTATAGATAATTCACTCTATTACAACTCTAGATGAAATCATGTTCCTTCTCAACAAACTAGTAATTTCTAGCAATTTCCCCCTTCAGTCTAGAAAGTAATTGCTGTGACCAAAGAAATGCACGGGGAGATCACATATTATTTTTCTTATAATTATACCCCTATCAAGAGTTTTAAATAAATACTTCCACTGGATGATTTCAGCTTCCTTCAGTATAAATGTAGGACTCAGTTTCTAAAACATTTAAACTCTTTGTTCCTTCCATCAGTTTATTTTATTAAGCAATTATAAGTCATGCAGAATTTTAAATGGTCTTATACACCTTAAGATCCTGGAGCAAGAAATATAACATTGAAATTTAAAAACATAAGTAAAATAGTAATCCCACCTGTATTACTTTAAAACTCAGTAAAACATTAAATATATTAATTTGGCAACCAACTTCTGAATTATAGTGTCTAAAAATAACCATTCCAGGAATAAAAGGCAAAATCATAATATTCAAATATGATTCACAGAGAAGCAATCTTTTTCACAGCAAGCTTAGCTTTGAAAAAATTCAAAATTAAAAAATATTCAATGCAGCATTTATATTACCAACTTATTTTAACAGTTGCTTTTATTGAAGCATGACAGTAACCTTTTTCTTTGACTACCAAATATGACATAAAGCTCACCATTTAAGGTAATATAAAATGCTATATATAGTCTCTTAAGCCATAGAAGAAGAAAATTGAAATGTCCTGTGATTTTCTAGATAGATAAAGATTTGGTGTTTGTTTAGTCTTTTTTTAGTTTTGATTTCTGGTCTGATTTGTTTAGTGGGTGGTTTTGAGCATATGGCATTTTGAAATTGAGTAATCAAAGAACAAAGGATACTATTTTTTGACATTCAAGAAAGAAGGAAGAAGTAATCAAACCTGCTGCAAAATAATGAAATGTTCTGACTAATGGAATAATGTGTGATGGAACAGGTAGAAATCTGAAAATGCGACAGAAAAGCAGACCTCTTCTTAGAACTAGATGCTGAGTTTGTGCTGACTCCAGGAGGAATGTCGCTATAAAAAGAGTCGCCATCTCCAGGCTTTTTTACATAATCTCCCTGGGGTAACTGTCTAAGGCATAATAAACATTTCAGAGTCAGAAAACAAGACACACACACATGAACACAGACATATACAAATATTATTTTAGGAAAAAAGAGGTAGGGATAATGAGCTACATGAATCAAATCTATAACATATAAGGTATTAATAAATGTGACAAGTAAGTCATTCTAGCTGTAGAGGGCAGACAGGCAATTAAGGAAGTCTATGTTCTGAATAAATAAAAGCCTTACTTCAAGGGAAAAATAAAAAGATAAGATTTTTCACTGTAACTAATATACTGTAACTATTAACTGTTGTTTTCTCTTAAAAAAAAAAAAGTCACAGGAGACATAATGGACAGCGTTTGTCCAAATAAGGCATAGTTGTTATTTGTTTTTTTTCAATTGTGGTGAATAAACTATTCATGTTTCTAAGCATTATATTATTCAATGCAACCTTGATTTAGTTCTAAAATTACTGATTGATTTCTAAGCTATTTCCTTACATTTGAATCCAAATAATTCTTACTAGAGCTCCCTGTTCAGTTTAAACCTTCATTATTCACTTAACAGAAATACATACGAAGAAACAGGAAAAAATCCAAAGGGAATCAAAAACATAATAACTACACAGTAGAAAATATGCAGGATAATTTAGCAAGTACAAAGTTTGAAAAAACATTTTTATTCAGCAAAATGTTGCTTTTCTACCTTCATTGTAGTAGGAGATATAAGGGGAAAATCTACTTAATCTGCTCTCATGTACTCTGATTTTGAGTTAAATTAGATTGGAACAGATTTTTATTATTTTTAAGGGAATACAGTACAAAATTTTAGACAGGACCACAGAGTGATCTCCTCCCTCAGTAGCTATTCAGGTTTTTGCCAGGGTTTGGCCCCTGAACAGCCAACTGCATCCAACACTTGATTCAGTTCCATTCAGTACTATTGTTAGGGTACTTCTAACTAGTGTTGGACTCAGAATTTTAAACAGAGGTATACTCAAATAGGTCTCCAACAAACGCACAAATCTGCTAACACCTTTTTCTATTTGAGCTTTCCTTAGTCTTTAGTATCCATGCTAATATTGGTAACTTGCTATTGCTTGATATTATCCAAGAAAATATCATAATTAAATTTTGCTTACTTAGGCCAATTCTTACATTATTTTAAATGTCTAAAATACTTGGTCATTTGTTCTTCTGAATGAGAGATATACTTTCATATTATTTCAATCTACATATTTTACACATCTCTATAAATCTAAAATAAGATTTTTCAACTGATACAAAGCAGGTACATATTAATCTGTGTGATTAAATATATTCCTTAAAAGAATGTCCCACTAGATTTGTATGTAAGACTCAAACTATCTAAAATTGCTAGATATATATTACTTCAAAAATTTTTAAATTTATAAATGACTTCAGCTCACTATTGTAATACCTTCCTTTCTTTATCCTCATACATTATGAAACATTACTTTTACAGGAAAAAAATTATTAATCTGTATTTATATTAATCATGTAGGGGAAATGATATATCTTATTCAGGAAATCTTTAATCTCTAGAATCATATCTCCTGTGTGATCTTCTATCAATAAAATAATCCATCAATATTTGAAAAAATGCCATCAATAAAATTTCTGTATGTTACATCAGGGAAGAAACTTCTATTTTGTATGATATTAATATTTATGAAATAATAGCAGAAAATGTACCATCAAGCATCACATTTTCAATAATAATGGTCATGGTTAATAGATTCTTTTTGTCACTATTATCTTTAATGATAATCTTTATATGCTGACAAGATGTGACTCAGCTCTAGTTCAATAAAGAATACTTCTGATTATGGTTGACCTTTCCCATTATTCTATCCTTTAAATTACCTTCTCTTTATATAGCTTTAGCTAAAGCCATTTACCAAAGACTCATTTAGTTGATACCGCAGGCTTAAGTGGACAGCCTTTCACAAATTAGGGTGTTCAATTTTGTTTTTGTTTTGTTTTGTTTTTAAAGATTTATTTTTTTATGCACACAAGAACTGGGGTTTGGGGCAGACATACGGGGGGATGAGAGGCTTCACTAGAAACAGTGGGGAGCAGAACAGGCAGATGTACTGAAATACACTGCTGATGGGAAGAGTGGGCAGGTCAGAAGAGATCTGCAGCTTTACAGTGCTGCAATTTAACCTGTTGAGGGCCACCAGGGAGGGCCCTCAGGTTGTTTTTTTTTTTTTTTAACTGAACACTTTATCACTCCTTGTGAAATTTGCTGCAGTCCATACATCTTTTACACAGTGAACAAGTATCTAAATACTAAGTATGTGATAAATTCAGTCAAAGGATTGGAAGTTCAATGAACTTCTGGACACCGTCTTGTTTTTACCATTACAGATAAATTCTTAATCTGTTTCTAATGGTAAATTTCTTAAATATAGAAACTACTTTGCATTCTCTTTATATTTCACAAGGAATTCATATAACTTTGTTCACATCATAAATACAGAAGAATATTAATGATAGATTATGAATTTTGTTAAAAAATTCTTATGAATAATATTTACTATAACTTACTGTTTATAAGTTAATTATTCTTTCAAATTTCCTAACATTATAGAAAACTTATTTCTTCTTATTTAACCTCTAGGGAAGATAGAGAATATCAGGTCCTTCATCAATAATATTAGATTGTTACAAAATAAATGGCCAACTAAATCATACCTTAAACTTTTTTTTTTTTTAAGATTTATTTATTTATTCGTACAGAACTGGGGTACAGGCCAGAGATGCGGAGGGTGAGAGGATTCACCAGAGACAGAGG